TGAAGTTGGGTGCACCAGAGTTTGGTGAATATATGTTCATGATTGTAATATCTTCTTGATTCATTGTTCTTTTGATCAAAATGAAGTGGCCTTCTTTCTGTCTTCTGATTAGTTTTAGCTTAAAGTCTATTTTTGTCACATATTAGAATTGCTATGCCTGCTTTTTTCTTAGTGCTATTTGCTTGGTATAGTTTTTTCCATCCTTTCACTTTGAGGTAGTGTCTGTCCTTGAATGTGAGATGAGTTTCTTGTAGACAACAAAAAGATGGGTTTTGCTTCTTAATCCATTCACATAGTCTGCGTCTTTTGACTAGGGAGTTCAGTCCATGAATATTTAAAGTTATCAATGAAAAATGAGCGTTGAATCTTGTCACTTTTAATTCTGTTTACATTCTTGATATAGCTGTACTTTTCCACAGTTATACCGTTATTGGTTTTCTTTCCACAACCCCTTGGGATTCTTCAGCTCTTTGTATTGCTTCCAGAACACTCTGAAGGGCTGGTTTTGTGGACATGAATTCCTTCACCCTATTTATGTCATGGAAGGTTTTTCATGGAAGATTTTTCTTTCCCCTTCAACTATAATAGACATTTTGGCTGGGTATAGTAATCTGGGTTGGCATCTGTGGTCATTTAAACTGGGGATACTTTGGTCCAGACTCTTCTGGCTTTCATAGTTTGCACTGAAAAGTCAGCTGTAATCCTAATGGGTTTTCCTTTATATGTGACTTGTTTCTGTTTTGAAGCTTTTAGTGTTGTCTCTTTGTCTTATGCGTGTAGTGTTTTTCCTATGATGTGCTATGGAGAGTTTCTTTTCTGGTCCTGTCTGTTCGGTGTTCTGTATGCTTCCTGTATTTGTATGGGCATGTCTTTCTTTAATTTGGGGAAATTTTCTTCCACGATTCCTTCGAAGATCTGGTCCATGCCATTTTCCTGGTATTCTTCTCCTTCCTGTATGCCTATGATTTGTAAGTTTGGTCCTCTTATGGTGTCACACAATTCTTGCATATTCTATTCTTGTGCTTTCACAAATTTTTCCAAATCTTTGCTTGTGTGGTCTAGTTCGTCCACTTTATCTCCCAGTCTTGATTCTCTGTTTTCTGTTTCATTCATCCTGTTGGTCAGGCTTTCTCCTATTGTTCTAATTGGCTTACTGAGTGTTTCACTTCTTCATTTCAGCCTGAGTATTCTTCAATTTTTCTGACTCTATTCTGAATTCATTCAGAAGTTTATACCTATTTTCCTTCAGTTCTTTGGTTTCTTTTTTGTGTGTTCTTTAAATTAACCAAATTCTTTTATCATGTTTATAATTGTTCTTTTGAATTCCATGTCCTGCATTTTCTCTAGGGGGTACTCATTGTACTCCTCTAGATGACTATTGGTATTTGGTGGTATATGTTATTTTGGTTTTTCATGTTATTTTTTTCTCTATGATTTTGACATGTGGATTCCTTTTGTAGTTTCTGGTTCTTTTGTGAGACTCATGCCTTCAAGTTTAAGTCTGCATCTTTTTGTGAACTTTATGTGTCTTTGTGGTTTTCTTTTTGCGGATGAAAAGCTGGTTTGTCTAAGCTTCCGGTTCTCTCTTTTGATTTTATATTGTAGTGGCCAGATTGCTTTTGTCTTCAGGAGTTCCCACAGAGGCCCAATTCAGATGAGGGTCAGATGTTTTCAGGCTCTCTCCTAAGGTCTGGATCTCTCCAGGAATGATTTTGGCTTCAGGAATTTGGGGGTTGAACTGGCCTGTGAGCTGGGGCCAGGAAAGATGCTGGTGTAGGGCAGCCAGTGGCCGTGCCACCCAGAGATGCAAAGACAGATGGGGCAAGAAGAGGCCCCAAGGATTCCTGGTGACTTCACTGAGGACCTGGTTTGGTCTGGATGCAAAGGATGAGGAAGAGGAAAGGTCAGCCTCTGGGACCCAGGAAGAGGCTGGTGGGTGGTGCAGTCTCAGGGAAGCAGAGGGAGGTGAGGGCAGGGCCAGGCCCAGAAGTAGTGCTCCTGGGGCCCAGAAAAGGCACTGCATTGGTCTGGATGAAAAGAATCAGGAAGCATTAATGGTTCTCCAGGTGTCTGGGGCCCCAAGAGAAGGAATGGGACAGGACCCAAACTAGGAGGAGAGACCGATGGGGGAGATGGGAGGGTGAATGAGGCTGGGGGAGTCAAGGCGCAGAGGGCACCATGGAGTTACCCAGGAGAGGCCTGTGGGTAGGAGAGAGCAGTAAAATATTTTTAAAAATTGGAAATAAAAACTAAACATGGAAACCTGCCAGGAATATCCAACCTTTTGACATTTCTATAAGACATTGCCATCTACAAAGTTCACAATTGAGAACTGTGAAGTTATAAAAAAAAGTCACAGGACTACTCATGTTTTAAAGTTTATGATTTTATGTTGGATTGCATTCCTAGTTGTCCTGAGCTGCATGTGGCCCATGAACCATATGTTGGACACAACTACAAGACTTGGGTAGAGTAGTAGTTTTGGTTATCTCCCAGTCATTCCCTCTCAAAGAGTAGTCAGTGATATCATGAGTGTTGTGTAACTGACTTCTAAGGACATCCCTGTGTAAATGTGTGTATATCATACCTTTATTTTAACTTAGTCTATTTCTGAAACAGTCTCATTCTAACCTAGATTGGATTTGAACTCATGCCAGTATCCCTGCTGAAACCTGCTGAATGTTGTGATTACTGGTGTCAGCCACCACACCCAGAAATTTGTTTTATTTTTTATTTATTATTTCTGCATATGTGTGTATGTGTGCTTTTGAGAGTTTATGTGTACCATGTGAATGCAGGAGTCTGTAGAGGCCACGAGAGGGTGTCCAGTCCCCTGAAACTGGAGTTACAGGCAGTTGTGCGGTGCAGTGTGGATGCTGGGAACTGTACCCAGGTGGTTTGCAAGAGGAGTTAGCTCTCTGAACTGCTGAGCTTTCCCATTTTTAAACACCACATATCAAGTTGTTTTACTCATATTGATTGATGTTCATTGACCGTCTTTCCAGGTCATCATATCTGGGTCTATCTCTGTTATTTTTAACCAATTACACAAAACTTTGTGCATTTAAAAATATTTACTGTACCAGTGTGCCCAAACATATTTGTTCAGTAGTCTCCTATGGGTGGTTGGTTGATTACTATTGCCATATTGCTCATCAGAAGGATTAAGCAGGTGGATTCTCTCTTATACCATGAATGTCGGTGCCCTTTCTCTACACTGTATTATCTTATACCATCTTTGCTATGTGAAAATAATACCTGATTTTTTTTTAACTTCTGTAACTGCAGTTGGAAATGAGGTTGAGGTTTTCATGTCTGGCAAATTATGACCTCCCTTTGAAAATAGTCTTTTCTCATATTCTGACTTTTGTATTGCTCATCTAATTATTATGTTTTAAAAGTGAGAAGTCTGTGTATTACAAAATGCTTTTAAATTCATTTCTAGAGTGTGGTAATTGGGATTAGAACCCAAGGCCTTGTGCATTCAAGAGAAGTAACCCCTAAACGGCATCCTCATGGCTGATTTTGTTTGCCTCCCTTCTCCTCCCCTCCCTTTTGAGGCCTCTAGAGATCTGTCCCTGCCTCCCAAGTGCTGGGATTAAAGGCGTGCACTGCCACACCTGGATTTTTTTTTTTAATGGTATGCTGGTTAGTTTTTATCAAAATGACACACACTAGAGTCACCTGGAAAGAGGGAACTTCAACTGAAGAATTTCCTAGATTATGTCCTGTGGCCATGTATGTAAGGAATTTTCTTAATTCCTCCTTGATGTGGGAGTGCCCAGCCCACTGTGGGTGGTGCAGTCCTTAGGCAGGTGGGTTGTATGAGAAAAACAGCTGAACAAGCCAGAGGAAGCAAGCCAACAAGCTGTATTTCTCCAGGGTCACTGCTTCAGTTTCTTACCTTTAGATTCCTGCCTTGAGCTCCTGTTCTGTCTCCCCTCTGTGATGGATTGTAGTGTGTAAGGTGAGATAAACCCTTTCCTCTCCAAGTTGCTTTTGGTCATGGTGTTTATCATAGAAACAGAAAGCAGACTAGATGAAATGGCTTCTGGATTTAATTTAATTAAGGAAGAGTGACTTCAGATTTTTTTTCTCAGTGGCTATCAACTAAGATAGTATTTGAATAAGCAAAGTTTGTTAATAAGAATGTGAATGCTTTTGATTCTCTTTCTGAACTCTTCTTTGCAGAGCTCTTCCTACAGTACTGTCACATTTGTATTATTTTAGATGTACAATCTACATTGATACCTGTTAGATTATTTCTCTAGTCATAGGCATTTTAATGATAATTTTCCAACATTTACTTACATATTTGCATTTTCAGGTGAACTTAAGAATAATTTAAAGTTGGAAAAAATGTTGGAGTGCTTTGATTGTGATTACCTTGGTGGATTTATTAATTTAGTATTAAATCAGTTGGCCTTTTCCGTCCTAAAATTTTTTATAGTTTAAGGATGTTTTTCTTCATATTTTTAAATTTATTTGTTTATTTATGTATATGTATCTGTGTGTGGGTATGGACATGTGCAAGTGGGTGCCCAAGGAGGCTAGAAGAGGGCATGGATCTCCTGGAGCTGGAGTTATAGGAAATTGTAAGCTACCCAGTATGGGTGCCGGGAATTAAACATGGGTCTTTTGCAAGAGCAGCAAGTGTTCTTAACCACTGCATCATGTCTGATGCCCCTTTCTTCTCCTCCTCCTCTTCTCCTCCCCCCTCCTCCCCCTCCTCATCCCCCCTCCCCCCCTCCTCTGTCTTTACATGGTTTTTGTAAATAATTATAAATGTATATTTTGCCTGATGATTACTACTGTAAAAGTGTTTCCTACCTACCTAGCACTGTGCAAAGCAGTGAGCCTATCTGGGAGTTTGAGTAGTGGTATAGCAAGGAAGTATAGCAAGGAAGCCCACATGGCCCTGTTCTTACCTGCATTCAACAGACTAAACATAAAGCAATGCTAGGATTAACCTCTTGGTTGTAATTTTTATTTTTTTACAGACTTTGCCTAAGATACTGAGCCATATTGCTCCAGCATTCTGCATGAGCAGCTGTAGCTTTGTCGTGGAAAAATCTAAAGAATCCACAGCACGCGTTGTAATTTGGCGTGAAATAGGAGTACAAAGAAGCTATACCATGGAGAGTACTTTGTGTGGCTGTGATCAGGGGAAGTACAAGGTAAAGCATTTTAAGATGTTTATTATTTTCTTATTTTTAATTATGTGTGTGTATCTGTGTGCTTTTATGTGCGTGTAAATAAAAGTGCCCTGTGACAACCAGAAAACTGTGTAAGATCCCCTGGAACTTGAGTTACAAGCTATTTTGAGCCACCCCACATTGGTGCTGGGAGCTGAACTTGGGTCCTCTTCAAGAGCAATACACTGTTATAACTGCTGAGCCATCCCTCTGGCCCCAAGTCTTTAGCTAGAAAAGATATTTGAAGACCTTTTTACATATATACTCTCAGGGTTTTCAAGTATACATTAAATGCCCAATTATCTTACTGAGTTATGTGTGTAATATGCAGTAACAGAATCAAGCCTTACAGGTCTTTTTGGAGGGGGGGTGTGGGGGTTGTGTGTGGTGCGTGCTTGGGCATGTGGAGGGCAGAAGGGTGTCTTTCTCTATTGCTGTCTACCTTATGATCTTAAGACAGGGTCTCTCACTAAACCAGAAGCTTGCCATTTTGGCTAGGCTTGGCTGGCCAGTGAGTTCTTGCTTTCTGCCTGCCATCCCATCCCCAATCCCAAATGCTGGAGTTACAGGCATGCACAACCACATGCAGCTTTTTATGAGGGTGCTAGGAATTTTCATTCAGATCCTCATGCTTGCAGAGCAATGACTCTTACCACTGAGCCCTCTCCCCAGCCCTACTTTGGTGTTGTTTTATCACTTGGAATAAATTTTAATCAATTAATTAATTTTTGTTTTTTGAGACAGGGACTCCCTGCTGCCCCAGCTGGCTGAGAACTGGCTATGTAGACCAGGCCGGCCTCAGCCTTACAGAGATCCTCATGTGAGGATCTCTGAGATGCCTCCCCAGTGCTGGGATTAAAGGTGTGCGCCACCCCGCCTGGCTCCTAGAAGGTTTTAAACAAGGTGTTGCTACATTACTCAGGCTTACCTTGAATTTCTGGACTCAATGGTTTTCCTACCTTGGCCTTTCAAGTAGCTCAGACTATAGGAACATGGGGCTTGACACCCAGATTTTAAACTTTGAAGTTGAGCACAAGTAAGATGGGTGGTTGAGGATTTATTTTAAAAATAAGGATTTACTGTGCAGTGGATTGGACCTCAAGTAAGCCATAAGGAAGCCTGAATATTTTTCTCATCTTTGTATAAAAGGCTCAGGAGTCATACTGATTATTTCACCATTCTAGTTTCTTTGTTTTGTTTGTTTCTTTGTTTTTTTTATGGAAAAATAGGATGCTGAATCTTTTTGAGAAAGATTTTTATGCCTCACGTGAAGTGGGTCTTTTTCACATGCTGAAAAAGAGTTAATTAGCTGAAGCTAAAGATGTAGCTTAGTTCATAGAGTTGTGGCACAGGGCCACAGGTCTGATTCTTAGTACCACATAAACCAGGTATGCTGTTGTTCACCTCTGTAATCATATCAGTCCAGAGGAGGAGGCAAGAGGATCAAGAGTTTAAAGGCCTCCTTGATTATATTGTGAGTTCAATGCCAGCCTGGCAAACCTAAAAATGTAAATACAGAGGCTGGAGAGATGGCTCAGTAGTCAAGAGCACTGACTGCTCTTTTAGAGGACCTAGGTTCAGTTATCAGAACCCACATGATGGCTAATAACTGCCTTTAACTCCAGTTCCAGGGGATCCAGTACCCTCTTCTTGCCTCTATGGGTGCAAAATGGGTATACTTACATGGAGGCAAAACACTCATATCTAATAAGATAATAAAATTTAAAAAGAATTTTTAGTGTAAGTATATTATAGTTGATGTCAAATTTTTTTTAGAAATTATTTTTATGTGTATGAGTGTATTGCCTGCAGGAGTGTAAGTACACCCGTTTCTTGCAATGCCTGAGGAGGTCAGAAGATGTCATCAGATCCCCTGGAACTGGAGTGTGATCAATTGTTGGCTGCCTAGCTGCTGTGTGGGTGTTGGAAATTGAACCCAGTCTCTCTACAAGAGGAGCCAGTGCTCTTAACCACTGAGTCATCTCTCCAGCCCCTATGTCAGATTTTTTTTTTTTTTTGTGCTTTTTGAGACAGGGTCTCCCTGTAGCCCCAGCTGTCCTAGAACTCACTATTAGACCAGGCTGGTCTTTAGCTCACAGAGATCCGCCTACCTCTGCCTCCTGAGTGCTGGGATTAAAAGAGAACCTAAATAATTGATACTTTCATTTTATGCCAAGCTGGAAGAAAGCTGTATTGATTTCAAAATCAATGCTAACATTTAGAGGCCTAGAATTTCAGAACTTGAGGAAATTCTAGGTACTTTTTGTTAGATAATGTTTCCCCAAGGTTGACAACAGTATACTATTTCAAAATATAACATCAAATCTCTCCAAATGTTGTAAACAGTGGCTGTTAGTGTTTCTGTATGGCATGTGAATGTATCCCCCCAAACCCCCCACAATGCTTTAGTAGACAGCCTTTGCAAGATTCTCATAGGCTTTACTGATGTAGGGTGGGAAACCCCTCAAGAATCAGTTTCATGTAAGAACATATGTGACTGTTAGTTAAAATTCTTGCATTATGTGACTTAGGGAAACAGATTGTAAGTTGTTCTGAGACATTTATGCAGTTAGGCTAGTGGATGTGACTTAAAGTATCACTATTGTTGAAACTGGCCTCTGGGCATGGGATCAGAGGGGTCAAAGCAGATGAGACTTACTGTGCTTCAGGATTCTGTTGGTCATTGAAAAGGGAAAATTTTAAAAAGCTGAAACATGTTTTGAAACAAAGTATTAAAACAGCTTAAAAATATTTTTGCTTGTGTGACTTGCCCAGGCTGCACATGAAGCCAGAGGACAATTTGTGGGAGTCATTTCTGTTCTTCTACCATGTGGGTCCCAGGAGTTGAACTTGGGTGGGCAGGCTTGGTGGCAAGTACCCTTTTGCCTAGCCCTATTTGTTTTTAATATATAAATATATAAACTTTAAAAACAAAATGGGTACCTGATCAAGTACTCTCGTTTCTCTTTATGTGATTTAGTCAGCTATGTGGAGAGACATGTTTCTTCCTAAGTCAGGGTTTTTTTTTTTTTTTTGAGACAGGGTCTCCCTGTAGCCCTGGCTGACCTGGAACTCACAATGTAGACCAGGCTGGCCTTGAACTCGCAGAGATCTGCCTGCCTCTGTCTCTGCCTCTGCCTCCAGAGTGCTGGGATTAAAAGAATGAGCCACCATGCCCGGCTCCCTATGCGAAGTTTTTTAAATGTCTAAATGGGTCTGGAAAGATGGCAGTGGGTAAAGTGCTTGCTGGGCTAGCTTCAGGACCTGAGCTCAATCCCCAGCATCCATTTAAGCTGGGTGTGTAGACACACATCTATAACTCCGCAGAAGGCTGTGGTAGAGAGACAGGAGGATGGTGGTGGGTAGGAGGTCTCGCAGCCAGCCAGTCTAAGCAGGCTCTGGGCTTATTCTGAGACATCAGAAAATAATGGCTGGTGTGCTTGATGATCTCTATTTAATCCCAGATTTCACAGAGTGGAAGGAGAGAACTTATGCATGAAAGGTGTCCTCTGATCTCCACACATGCACTGTGGAACATGTGTGTCAGCATACACACACAAATTAATTAACTGGAAAAAGTTTTTTAAGCTGGAAAAATTTAAGAATAAAAAGGTAGAAAGCAATAGAGAAAGAAGCCTGGCATTGACACCGACACATGCGCACACACAAGGGAGTGCACGTTAACTTGCACTCCAGATTTAAAAAATGAACATGCAAGACTTTGAACATAGCTTATATTTTAAAATTTGATATACTTGGGCCGGGCGTGGTGGCGCATGCCTTTAATCCCAGCACTCAGGAGGCAAGAGGCAGGCGGATCTCTGTGTGTTCAAGGCCCACCTGGTCTACATAGTGAGTTCCAGGACAGCTGGGGCTACAGGGAGACCCTGTCTCAAAAAGACCAAAAAACTAATTTATTAATAACTTTAGTTTTATAGGAAAATTTTAGGTTTACAGTACAATTAAATGAAAAGTACTGTTTTTATATATTTCCTGTCTCCTTATACACACGTGTACATATTTTAAATTTGTTAGCATGTAAGTTGGATGATTTAAAACTTTTAGGAAATAATCTTCTTCATCTTCAATGATAGTTTGTGACTGAATTTTAGGATATAAATAGGTCATTATTTTTATTTTCCATGAAGTAACTTAAAAATAGCCATAGCCTTGCTAAAATTCTTAAATTAAGCAATATTTGGGAATATTTGGGAGAATATTTCCTAGAATATTTGGGAGATAGTCAAATTTCTTTTTTTAAAAAAAATATTTTATTAGCTGCCATGTGGGTGCTGGGATTCGAACCTGGGTCTTCTGCAAAAACAACTGGTGTTCTTAACCAGTGAGCCATCTCTCTAGCCCCTCTTCTGTCCTCCTAGGGTATTGCATTACATGGGTGCACTTACCTACATGTAGGTAATACATAGAATATTTGGGAGATAGTCAAATTTCTTTTTTTAAAAAAAATATTTTATTAGCTGCCATGTGGGTGCTGGGATTCGAACCTGGGTCTTCTGCAAAAACAACTGGTGTTCTTAACCAGTGAGCCATCTCTCTAGCCCCTCTTCTGTCCTCCTAGGGTATTGCATTACATGGGTGCACTTACCTACATGTAGGTAATACATGCATACATATAAAATTAAAATAATAAATAAAATATTAAAAAGTATTTTATTTATTTTTATGTGTATGCATGTGTTGCTTGCATGTGTGTAAGTGCACCCATCGTGCAATGGTCAGAAGAGGGCATTGGATCCCCTGGAACTGGAGTTATGGACAGTTGTTGGTTGCCATGTGGGTGCTGGGAATTGAATATGAGTCCTCTGAAAGAGCAGCCAGTGCTCTTAACCACTGAGCTATCTCTCCAGCCCCATGAGAGTCAAAGTCTTTAAGCCCCACATGATTATAAGCAATCTTCACTGTAGAAAGAACATACTTCCTGCCAAGCACCATTTTTAAAATGTGTTTTCTTCACTTGTTGTACGCAGTAGGAACAGTGTTAGTTGGCTGCTGTCTTGTAGTCTGTTCTCTGTAGTTGTTTGGTCTTATCTACACCTACAGCTTCTGCTGGTGTGAGAGATTTTTTTTTTCTGGAAAATAAATGAGAATATAATTGACAATCAGTATTTGTGGGTTTTTTATATAAAGTTAATGGGATTGATGTATAATTTTCTTTTCAGTGTAGTAGAAAAAATATGAAAACAGCCACTTTTAATTGAAACAGAAGATAGAAAATTGTTTAACTACTCTTGTTGACTTTCATTCTCTTTTTGTTGGTTACTCTCTTTTGTTTCTTTTTATTGATCGAACATTCTGTGAAAGTGTAAGGTTGGTATTCAGAACATTGATTTTAATGAACTTCAGCCTTGGCATCCAGAGTAACAGAGTACCAGGAATGTTAGTGGGAGTTTATCCACATACGGTTTCACACATGGACTACAAGAATAATGTTAAACATAAAATTATATGTTCATTTGTTTATATTCCCTCAGATTGTTGGTAAAATTTACATCACAGTGAATGTGGAGTATAGACATTTTTTAGTGCAAGATTTACAGGATCTTTTATAGAATCCAGAGTTGTTTAAGTATGTGTTTTAGAAATGTTCTTTTGGAGTCGGGCATAGTAGCACTTGCCGGTCATCCTAGCATTCAGGAGGCAGGGACAGGAGGACCAAGTATGAGGCCAGCTTGTGAGATGTGGCAAGATCCTGACTCTAAAAACAAATAACCAGAACAACAGCAACAAAAAGACAGTGTTTTAACTTCCTCTTGTGACCTAGAATAGTTTTGTCCTACTACCATAAAAATGCTTCAGTTTTATAAATGTGGTTATTTTTTTGTTTATAATTTTGAGTTGTAGCCAAAGTTTCTGATAGTCTCTGTGGTTTTTACTTTATTTCTAGGGTTTACAGATTGGCACTCGAGAATTAGAAGAGATGGGAGCAAAATTTTGTGTTGGTTTATTGCGTTTGAAAAGACTGACTTCTCCACTGGAATATAATCTGCCCTCCAACATGCTTGACTTTGAAAATGACTTAATTGAATCAAGCTGTAAAGTAACTAGGTAGGACACACTTGATTATTATTCTATTAGGTTGTGGTGTACTATTAGACTTCATTAGAACAGTTAAGTATGGAAAACGTATGGCAATTGATAGCCAAGAGCATGTTTAGAATTAATATAATTAGTTCTAAGTACCTAGTATTTGTTCCAAATTGTGGTGATTGATTCTTGTAATGTTGATATTTGAATGAGATTGTGAGGAAATCTTATCTTTTGAATGCTGTTTCTATTAATTATAATACTTCACTTTTTACCCAAAAATAAGGAATATAGAAATATTCCACGTACATGATACCTAAATTAAGAAGACGTCAAATAATGATTTATATTTCAAAAGATTTTTTGTGTACAAAAACATTAATGGTTTATTTGTGTATAAAAACACTAATAACCTGATTATATGTATTAAAAGCAGCTAAATTTAGCATTTTAATTGTGTTCTTCTGAATAGTCTTTTTCTGTGAAAGTTCATTGTATGTGAAATTTTAAGTTATAAGCTTAAATAGCTCAATACTGTAATTCTTAGTTGTAATGCTAGACATTAATATTTTATTTTCTGGTATATATGTATAGGTAAGAATAGTCCCATTTATAGAACCTTTATGCTTTTTGTTATGTATCACTTTGTCATTGTGTTAATTTTTCAATATATTGATATTATGTAAATCAATGTAGCAGTTTTCAGTGCAATAAAACAGTAATTGGAATTCTCTTTTTTATAAAAGTTATAATTTAGACAAGTGATCTGGCAGGTCTTTGTTCTTCAAAGTGCCAACTTGTGGAAGCAAATGCTAAGATTACCATTCTCGGGGCAGGCAAACGGGCTTAGCAGGTAAAAGTACTTGCCAATCAAGCCTGACGACTTGAGATTGATTCCCAGAACCCACGTAAATCGGCTCTATACTTTTGTTCTGACCTCCACACATACACACCCACATACACATGTCATATGCACACAGTGTTAATAAAATTAAACAATAATGAAGATCATCAATTCTCACTGATGTCTGGAAGTCACCTTTTAACTCATGTTCTCTTACAGTCATGTCCATGGTATCCTCAAGGACCCTTCTTTAGTATTAATTTATGGATATGCTTTGTATTGTATGTTCCCTCTAACAGGTTTTCTTTTAAAAAGAAGAGGTAGATATTTTGAAAATGTCAATTTGAAGAAATACACTGTTACACATACTGTCATGACACATGTTTTTAACATTTTGATAATTTCATTTCAATATAATTGCTTTCCTTTTTAACTATGTTTACTTAATTTTATATCATGGGAAGGTCATAAACTTATCAAACTCTCTGAGAGGACTGTGGTACAAGAAAAGGTTAAGAATTGGTAGTTCTCGGGGCCGAAGACATGGCTTAGTGGTTAAGAGCACATACTGCTGTTGCAGAGAACCCTGGTTCCATTTCCAGCATCCATATCAGGCAGCTCACAAGTACCTGTAAGTCCAGCTCCAGAGACTCCAACACCCTCTTTCTGACTGTGGATACCTGTGCTCAGGTACACATGATTTTAAAAAAAATAATAAAAATCTTGAAAAAGAATTTGTGCTTCTCATCGTTCTGCATATAAACATACCTAGCAGCTAGCAGTTATAAGATCAGATAACTTTCTCCTTGAAATGTTACTCTAGTTTTCTCTTCTGTTTATTGACTTTATATCATTAAACATCTAGCCACTTCTTTTCCCATGCCACATTCTTTTTCTCATAGGAGTTTTGCCCAGAACTCTGGTTTTTCACCGACTTTGCTATCCTGATGCTTTTGAGGTTTACAGGTGCTCAGTCTGAATTTGCCCCATCTCACGCTGTATTTAGGTTGTGTGCATTTGGGGACAATACTGTGGATACTGCGTTCTTTTCACAGCATCCTATTGCTTAATATGTGCCCTTTGATCATCTGTTAAGATCGGATGCCAAATTTCTTCCTTGCAAATGTTTCTTCCTTTAATAATTAATAAACATTTTCATGGAGAATTACTCTAGAACTCTTCTAGTATCCTCTTCCTTATAAAAAGTTTTAATTTACCCATTTTTTTAAATATTAAAAAAACTTTTTAGAAGAATTATTTCATTACAGCTTTAACATACTCAGTAACAGTTTCCAGAGCAAAGATACATCTCTTTCAAAAGTGGCTGTAAAATTTTTAGGTTTGCTGTTGAATTAATACAGTTATATGATACTGAATTCAGTATAAGCCCTGCAAATTTCATGATTTCATCATTCTTTACTGCCGAGTAAAACTCCATCATATACATGAACCACATTTTCATTATCCACTCGTCAATTAAGGGACACTTAGGTTGCTTCCATCTCTTAGCTATTGTGAAAAGAGCAGCAACAAACATGGATGTACAAGTGTCTCTGCAATAGGACAAGTTCTTTGGGTATATGCCAAGGAGTGGTATAACTGGGTCAAATGGTAGGTTCATTTGTAGTTTTTAAAGCGTTCTTCACACTGCTTTCCATAGGGATTGAACCAGTTCACAGCCCCACCAGCAGTGTATGAGTATTCCCCTCTCCCCACCGCTCCAACATTTGGTATCATTTGTTCTCTTGATCTTAGCCAGTCTGACTGGGGTAAGATGAAATCTTAAAGTGGTTTTAATTTGCACTTCCCTAATTACTAGTGATATTGAACATCTTTTAAGATGCTTCTTAGCCATCTCTACTTCTTCTTTTGAGAACTCTGTTCAGCTCCTTAGCCCATCTTTAAATTGGGTTACTTCCTGTCTTGATTCTTTTTTTATTTTTAAGTTCATTATGTATTCTGGATGTTAAACCTCTGTCAGATGTGTTGATGGTTAAAATTTTCTCCCATTCTGTGGGTTTTCTGTTCACTTCCCTGGTTGCCTCCTTTGACATACAGAAGGTTTTTAGTTTAATGAGGTCCCATTTGTTGATTCTTGACCTTGTTTCCTTAGCAATTGATGTCCAGTTTAGAAAATCCTTTCCTACACCTATATCTTGTAGGTTTTTTTTCCATTGTTTTCTTCTAACAGTTTCAGAGTTTCAGGGTTTACGTTGAGGTCTTTGATCCATTTGGAATTGACTTTTGTGCAAGGTGAAAGTTAGGGGTTTAGTTTCATTCCTCTACAGGTGGAGATCCAGTTTTGCCAGCACCATTTGCTGAACATGCTGTGTTTCCTCCAGTGAATGTTCTTCACCCCTTTGTCAAATATCAGGTGGCTGAAATTGCATGTACTCTTATTTGGCTCTTCAATTTTGTTCCATTAATCTATGGGTCTATTTTTGTGCCAGTACCATTTGTTTTTATGACTACAGCTCTGGAATACAGCTTAAAATCTGGTATAGTAATCCCCCTGGCATTGCTCTTAGTGCTCAGGGTTGCTTTGGCTATCCAAGGTCTTTCGTGCTTCCATATGAAGGATGTTTTTTCCAATTCTGTGAAAAATGTCATGGGGATTTTGATTGGCATTGCATTGAATCCATAAATGGCTTTTGGTAGGACGGTCATTTTCACAATATTAATTCTGTCCAATCCATGACCATGGGAGGTCCTTGCGTCTTCTGATGTCTTCCTCAATCTATTTCTTTAAAGATTTAAAAATTTCATTGTAGAAGTCTTTTATGTATTTAGTCAGGTTTATTCCAAGATATTTTATTTGATTTTTTTTTTGAAGCTATTGTGAAGGGGAGTGTTTCCATGTACTCTCTCTCTGATTGCTTGTTATTGGTGTATAGAAAGGCTACAGACCTTTATAGGTTAATTTTTAAAATTTTATGTACACTTTACTGAACGTGTTAATGATTTCTAGGAGTTTTCTGGCATCTCTTAGATATACTATCATCTGTAAAAAGGGATAATTTGATCTCTTCCAATTACTATTCCTTTAATTTCCTGCTCTTGGCTTATTGCTCTTGCAAGAGTTTCAAACACTGTGTTAAAGAGAAGTGGGGATAGTGGGCAGCCTTGTCTGGTTCCTGATTTCAATGGGAATGCTTCCAGCTTTTCTCCATTTAGAATGATGTTGGCTGTGGATTTGTTATATATGGCTTTAATTATGTTGAAGTATGTTCTCTCCAGTCCAATTCCCTCTAGGACGTTGAACATAAATGCATGTTGAATTTTGTCAAAGGCCTTCTCTGCATCTATTGAGATGACCATGTGGTTCTTGTCTTTGAGCCCATTTATATGATTTATGATGTTTATTGACTTACGTATATTGAACCATCCCTGCATCTCTGGAATAGCACCGCTTTGATCATGGTGGATGATCTCTTTGATGTGTGTCTGTATGCGGTTTGCGAGTATCTTGTTGAGAATTTTTGCATCTATGTTCATTAAGGATATGGGTCTATAGTTTTCTTTTTTGGTTGTATCTTTACCTGGCTTTGGTATTAGAGTGATGCTGGCTTCATAGAAGGAATTTGGAAGCTCTCCCTCCATTTTTATCTTTTTGAATAAATTAAGTAGTATTGGATGTAGACCATCTTAAAAAGTCTGATAGAATTCTGATTTAAATCCATCTGTTCCTGGGCTTTTTTTTAGTCGGGAGTTTTTATATTACTGTTTCCATTTCTTTTTGTGTTATGGGTCTGTTTAAGCTGTTAATCCCTTCTTGGTTTAGTTTTAGTGCTTCCCATGCCTTTAGATATCTGTCCACTTCTTTTAGGTTTTCAACTTTAGTAGCATATAGGTTTTTAAAGTATTCCCTTGTAATGTTCTGTATCCTTCTGGTGTCCGTTGTGATGTTTCCCCTTTCATCTCTGATTTTGTTGATTTGGGGTGCTCTTTCTTTCTTTAGGTTACCTGTGCTAGCGGTCTGTCAATCTTCTTTATCTTTTCAAAGATCCAGCTCTTGGATTCATTGATTCTTTGTATTGTTTTCTTTGGTTTGATTTCATTAATTTCTGCCTGGTTTTTGTTATTTCTTCTTGTCTGCTGGGTTTGGGTTTCATTTGTTGTTGCTTTCAAGTGTGTTGAATTGCAATGTTAAGTCATTTATTTGTGTTCTTTCTGATTT